CTCTTTCCCACAGTACCAAAAAAAAAAATGGCCGTATTGTGAGAAATGAAATAAAAAAATAAGTAAAAAAATAAAAATCAATTCGAAATAACCGGTCGAACGGTTCGTTTAAGTGAAGTTGAAGGAGAGGATGAATGGGGTCCAAATCTTCATATCAACCGAGAGAGTGAGGGTTCAAGAAAGACAGAGCATGGAGTTGTGCCTTAGCCGAGCAAATAGGAATGAAGAAAAAGAGGAAGAACCACAATATTTTGAGGAGCTTAGCATCAGACACCACTGTCGAGCCGAGCGGCTTTTCTGCGAGTGATGGAAGACGAGAGAAGAAAAAAAAATCAAAGGAAGGTTTGTGTGGTTTTTTCCTTGCAGTGAGATACCACACTCGATCGGCCTCAAGCGGTAGAGGATGGAGGAGATTGGCTCGTCATGCGGTGTTGTAGTCGAAGCAGACGCTGCTTTGTGTTGGCGTGCGTGAAGGAGGAGAACTGAACAACGCCGAAGGAGGAAAGGGAAAAAGGAGGCAGGGTTGTGTGTGCACGGTGATGGGTTGAGCAGCAACCGAAGGCAGAGGAGGAAGATGGGAAGCTCATGTGTGCGGAATGGGGTAGCTTGCACGCGAGTTTGGGCAGCTGAGTGATATTTTAAGGCAAAATGGGTTTATATTATAATAATTAATATATTTTTTAAAAAGATTATTCATTAAATGTTAATTGTAAATGTATTTGAAATCAAAAATAAGTTGAAGGAAGTGAGATTCAACCTCGAGATTGAGGGGCGAATCACTTTGAAAGAGAAGACATGCTTTAATTAAAATTAAAGTTTAATTTACTTTATTTAGAATTAATATTTAATAAAAACATTAGTTTTTAACAACAATTAAGGTTAAAGAACATTTGAATCGAGAAGATCAGAAATTAAGGAGTCGTTGAGACAAGCAAGCAAAGTATATTGAGTAAATATTTTCTTATATGTATTTAATTGCTTTTAATTTAATAAATATTTCTTTAATGCTTTAGACAATTATTTTTATAATTATATGTATATTGTGGACTTGAGAATTAAAAGAAGTGAAATGGGAAAAGGGAAAATGATTGTTTAATGTTTTTAGATTGATGTAAGTAAAGGAAATATAATGTAAATGATTAAGTCAATCAGGATTACTCCCAGATGGCAATGACAAGAAATGTGATGTACCCGTGCACGATAAGGGAATTGAAAATGGTAAATGTATACTTTTGGGTGCAAATTTTTGAAGCTACCTACAATTATAATTTTGAGAATATATTAGAGTATGACAACAATCCTTATATGATTTCTTAAGGAGGTTAAAAAACATAAATACTTACATTGAAACGGGAATGATTAAATTTAAAATAAAAGCTTCCAGTTTGATTAAGTAATGAACTACATTTCTTTTAGTCATTTATGCATTGCATTCACCTAAAAAATTAATGCATAATAAGATTGTAATTGCTCACTAAGTTGTAAAAACTTACCGTTGAATTTAATTATTTTTTTACAGGAAAAGTTGTAGATTGACGTCTTATAAGAGGGATTTAGTTTTTAGGAGGATGATTAAGGTTGATTGATATTATGATTGAAATTTTTTTGTTATGTTTTCTTTTTGATTGTGATATACAATTATGTGCTGGTTTGAGATATTGTCTACAGACTATGCAATTATTTCTTGATATTTTGATTTCTGTGTAGTACACTTTGTGATTTGTTAGAGGCTCTTTTATTTATATTATAAGTTCTTAAAATCTCTGGAATGTAAATTAAATGTTAATACCGTTTGACAGTTCCTGACTTGGTTAATTCTAAGTTATCAGACTTGGTTGTGACATGTATAACTCTAAAGGAAAGAATAATCTCTTTCTTATCTTTTTCCGTTACTTCATATATCTTTTGGTTTGATATCCGTTAATTTGAATGCTTGAATAACCAAAGGGAAATAATAACTTTTGTTGGATGCCTATGAGATATTGCAGACATAACCTCTTTGCTTGTCAAATTTGAGCTTTGCACTCTATCAATGCTAGTTTCTTTTGCCATTGCATTCATTTACCAAATTAGGAAACGAGTTTTTTTTGGGGAGCATTTACATACATACCACTCAATTCTTATGTATTTATATTTCAAACACCTAAACTTTGATTTTTACATTTATACCATCAATATTTTTTTAATCACATAAAAAATACCATTATTTTAACTTTTGAAAAGCCAAATAAACCTTTTCATGTATACATAAGGTGGCATATATTTAAATGTTCAAGTTTCACTGTTAGATATGTAAATACATAAGAATTAAGTGGTATGCATGTAATTCTTCCTTTTTTTTTCATTGAGGAAATCTTAAAATATTAACCGAAATTGCTATGATTTCAGTTATGATTTTGTGCAAATGTATACATTCTTGTTCTTTTTAGGGGATTGGATGCACAAAAATTACGAAGGCTAGACATGAAGGCTCTTTAAATGGGAATCTAGAATCAAGGTCTTATCTTGAGAAGAAATTGGTGTTCTGCTTTGGCTCTTATGTCGCAGCACAGCTATTACTTCCTTTCGGGGAGGAAAATTTTTTGTCATCATCTGAGATTAAACATGCACAAGAGGTTGATATTTTTTTTCTTTAAATTTGTTCTTGTTTCCCTCGATGGAACATTTTTTATCGAAAACTTTCTTCAGATATTGCAATACTGATAATTGCAGATAGCTACACGCATGGTTCTTCAATATGGATGGGGCCCTGATGACAGTCCAGCTATTTATGTGACTAGCACTGCGGTGAGAACTTTTATCGGAAATGCTTTTGTTGTAACTGAAAATTTTATATAGCTGAGTCGAAATTCGGTTTTTTTTTGTGTTCTAGGTATCGTCTTAAATTAATAGGTATATTATATATTTAACCTCAGGCATTTCTATCATATCACCTGTCACATTGGCTCACCACTTCTGTTGGAAATCCAAAATTTTGAATGTTGCAACTCCTTCCCTGCTTTGCTTGGGAGGCGTCTGCTTTATTTTACCTTTCTTCCTTGAGCTAATATTAAATTAGTATCAAATTTGTGTTAAAAAGTATTTTATGGCTGCGTAAGAATTGCAATTAAAATGCGGAATATTTTTCTTTTTCTTTGAAAAAGAAGTGAGGGCCATGGGATTGACGGTTTAATTTGGTTTTGGGTAAATGATTTGATTTGTTAAATGTTATTTAGGTTGAACTTTAGATCTTCGGTTTTTGCTGATGTTGTTTGTGTTATGCTCATGCTATAATTTATACGTTGGTTTGAAGACTTTTTTTTTTTGAAAGAACTTACCCTTCTTATTATGAGAAAAAAAGTACAAATAATAATACAAGAATAAAAAAGGGAAGCACCTAACTAAAGATAAAAAAAATAGAGGCATCCAATTGTCTTAGGGGAAAGAAAGCCAAAATGCTCTAGTTGGATCAGGGAAAAGGATATTTTCTAAATTTTTATTGATTCTGATGTTCTTCTCCCATTGCATTGCTGATCTAAAAATATGTTAGAATAATCATTTCAAACCAAAGGATCTTTATCATTTTTTTTTTGTTTCAAAACATCTACTATTCATTTCACTCTAAATGTTACTAATAGAAAATAAAATGAAAACATCCCATAGCCTTCAAAACTCTTTCTTAGTAAATTATAACTCTAAGTGGAAGCAACCAAGTCCATGTTATCAACGAGTTTGGAGACACCAAAAATGTTGTAAAATTTCCTCCGTATATTAGAAATAATACTTCAAATAAAGAAGATATGGAATTCATCCTCCAAACTATCATTGTATCTATCATTGATAGTTGTTAGATAATACATTTGTTAACTAAAGATACCTTGTTAGGAATTTTCCTCATATAATCAATCCATTCAAACATTTTTGTTTTAAGTGAAGCATACTTATTGAAATACAAAAGCATCTGGGATTATGAATACCCTTATCATCAAGAAAGAATATAATGAGTTGATCGAGAATGTACATTTCGGTAAAAAGGAGATGACATGGTTATTGTCAAGTAAGATTAATTTGATTGATAAGACAATAAAGAAGGCTAAGGTGAATTGGAATAATGTATTTTCGTAAGTTTTGCCATCCAATCTTTGGAGTAAATTGTGAAGCAACAAAATTATCATTATTCTTGACAAATGCTGAAAGATCTTTAAATTGAATGGCAAAGGAACTACTATTTATCCATTTAACCATCAAAGAGTTAATAATTCTATCATCATGAAGTGTTTAATCGAAAAAAAGAAATGGGTGAATAGCCTTAACAACATCTATAATAAAATTAGAGCAATCAAAGAATATGGTAAAATTAATAGCCCTCAAAGCCTTTTGTTAAAAAAAAAAGTCATTTTTAAAAAATTCAAACTTCAATTATTGTACCTTTAAGGCATAGCCATAAGTTCAATTCTCATAGACCTGATCCTTTATTGGTGGGAAGAAATATAAATATTGTTGTTGAAATTCAAAAGGTTATAACGAAGATTCTTTTAAACAGGAAATAAATGACAAACACACACAAACAACACGAATCTCCAACTAAGGCGAGGCGGGGCAACCCTGCAGACAATGGTGTGAGGGGCTGGATGAGGTGGCGGTAGGCTAGAGGGGGTTGGGTAGGTGTGGAGTTGAAGCAACAACGAGAAGATTGTTGTTTTACTGAAGGCTGACAGGATGTGAGGGGCGCTTGCAGAGGCTGTAATGAAGGGAATAAGGTTGACATCAGATTAATAGGGGTTTGGGGGATGTTTAGTGGCAGCTGAAACAGTGGAATAGGTAAGAGGTAGTTGCAGTGCAGAGATTAGGGAGAAAAGGGTTTGGCGACAGGAAGTAGGGACAGTTTTGGGTGCTGACGACACGAAATAGGAGCAAGTTTGGGCTTGTGGCAGGAAACATGAAAGCCTACAGGCCGGAGTTACAGCCAGAGCACCTCTCGAACCTCCGAAGAAAATCAATACCTTGGACGAGTTACATCTGGAGCGTCTTCGCACCTTCATATACAACCATAGATGGGAAAATAGCTAGCGGCGGCAAGCTGGACATAAACTTGAAATCAGAAAGACAAAAATTAAACTCTAAGATGACAAACACACATATTTATAATAGATATATAGGCGGGAAACAAAAGTGAATGGAGGAATAATTCCCACCCAATGAATGCGGGAGCAGGGGGTCGGTTTAGCCTCTTACAATATCAAAGGCCTTTACTTGTTGAACCTTGTGGTTGTTTCAGTCAGGCCACGTCTCCCCTAAGTCCCACGTTTCAGTTTTCCAGGGTTGAGGGAGCTTTGACTTCATTCGGTAAAGCTTCTGGCTCTTTATCTTCAATCCTAGCAGCATCATGATCTCTACGTCTTCTATATTGTCTCCCAAAACACCTGAGGATTTTCCTCCACTTACGAACATACATCCTATCGATTTTCTCTCCTGGGGGTTCACTACTAAACTGAACTAAGTCTGCATGTCTCGTTTATGCCACTGAATACTCCCAAAATAATCCATGATAAGCTCAATCTGATCCAAAGTGAGGGTATCCTGAAACTCCTCAAACGGTTGTGGCACTATTGGTTAGGTATCGACCTTGATATTTTGAAATGCTCTCTGTCATGCTTGTCTTGTGTCTGAAGATGATGACTTTGTCCAATCATTTTCTGTTATCACGAAAATTGGTCCCACCGATGTTGTTCTTTTGGCAAGGACACTTATGATATCGGGCTCCGTCGAAAGGAGAAGGATGATACGCTTCCCATCATCGGTGAAGGAGTATATTTTTTTCAATCCGTCGTGCTTAGTTTTATGATCAAACTGTCACGGTTTTCCCAACAATAGGTGACAGACATTCATGGGTACGATGATACGCTTCCCATCATCGGTGAAGGAGTATATGTTTTTCAATCCGTCGTGCTTAGTTTTACGATCAAACTGTCACGATTTTCCCAACAATAGGTGACAGACATCCATGGATATCACCTCACACCAAACCTGATTCTGTAGTTACTTCCGATTGAAAACTCCACTTAGGCACCTCTGGTCAATGCTGACTCTGTTATCCTTTTTTTAGTCACATCAGAGCATATGGTGGGGAGTGTTTCCGAATCATGATACACAACTTTTTCACCATGTGTAGAGACTACGCTCTTACTACCTCTCCATTGATGATGAGACTGCATTCCTTCCCATTCAAGGTGCAACGAGTGTAGAATATATTGTGATGATGCCA